GCCACCCCCCGGCCACCCCAGCCCGAGGAGAAGGTAGTGAAGAACTGGGGAAGGGCTGGTGGCGCCCAACAACAGCCAACGCTTCGCTACTCAGTTTGAGTTGGCCGTTCCTGGCAGATCTCCCTAGGGAACACGGACGCAAAAGCCTGAAGGTGCAGGGACAACCAGCAGCACCTTCCCAAGCCCCTGTGCAGAGGACACCTTGGTCCTCATCTCTGTGACTCTGGCAGGCCCTGCACACTTTGCATTTCTTGGTCAGGGCTCCTTTTCCAGGACATCAGCTGAGCTTCTCACTCTTCAGTGTTCCCACACACAGCAGTGCCACGGCTCCTGGCCACCAGCTTCAGTTTTCCGTTCAGCCTCATGCAGACTTGAAGCCAAGCTTCCCGAGTTCCAGGCCACAGGAACCACCACAAGTGTTCCTGCTCTTTGCTGAGCTTCCACGGAAAGGCGGCAGCTGCCTGCTGCCCACCCGCCATCCCCGGAGATCTGCAAACTCACCTCAGCGCTGACCTCGCTCCGAATTTGAAAGCAGCTCTCTGGAGACACGAGACCAATGCAGCAATTCGCCACTTAGCTCTCACCTCAGTCCCTCCCGCTGGAGCTTGCTGATGAGTAACCAACAGTTACAAATCAATGTCCCTTTTGTTTTCCGGCATTCTTCCTCTCCTCTGCAGGATTTGCAGAACAGCAATTAACGTGTTCTTTTTTTGTGTATGACTCCTCTTTATCCAACTTACTTAAAAATAAAATCTTCCTCCTTACAAGTGCAGGACTTGTGTAATTTCCCTCTCAGTCAACTTTCTACAAGTACTGTTCATATCCCTTCCTCTGCTCTTGTGTGCTCAACAGAATTGGTAAACAACTCATATTATGGATGTCACATCTATTTTCCATCTAGCTCCATTTTATCTTTCTTGAGTGGAATGTAATAGAGGCCATATAATTTACAAAACCGTTCTCCTCCTGACCTGCTGCACTTGCTCAATTCTACAGAGAATGAACAGCACTGGAAAATCTAAACCTCAGCCCACTTCAGACTCTACGTTTGGGGCTATTTTTTGTAAGACTGCTTTTGTGTTACCTGCTTACATTTTAAGAAATAGACCTTTCAACTAATTTCTTTCAAAATGTGCTAATTTCAGTAAAGAAAAAAAAAAAATTTCACTTCTCCAGTCTGACTCCGCTGGACCTCGATGAGGTCATTTTCACACACCAGCGTCCAGCCCCGCGGTCCCATCCCTCCCTATCGCAAAACCCAAGCATGGACACACCATTTATCTGCTCTTCTACATCCAAGAATGAACAGGTTACCTTCTCTTCACAGAAACACAAGTATCGACCACCTTATATACTGTAAGAAAACCATTTCCCAGTTCTACATCCAGCCTCTGCCACAAGCAATAATTCTTTTGCCATCCATGATGCAGGACAAATGATTCCCAAGACGTACTACATTGAATTATCCAACTACAGGATGGTTTGTACGTGTCCTACTGCCTCCTGTTAGCACAGACCTAACCCCGCGCTGTAACAGATGTTTAAAAAAATTGAAATACTCACAGATTTTTCTATTTACCCAAACAAGAGAAGCTTCAGTTTTCTAAACAAAGTCCCCAACGCTCCCACTGACAACAGCAGGCTATCTCTGCGACCACGTATAATGTCTCTGTGAACAGCGAGTAGCGACTAGCACTTCCCAATATCTGTATGAACATAACCTATGAATTTATGCTCTGCTAACACACAGCCTTAAGCAGTTCAGCACCTGTGCCAGCAGCAAGCTCTGCTGCGACAACAGTTACAAGGCAAAGAGCTCATCGCTCTGCTTTTGTGGATATTATGCTCCTCAGAAAGATGGGAGTAATTTTCTGCTGCTGAAACGGTCTCTGTGTAGCAATTCAGAGCAGAAACGTTCTATAACGGCGAGAGCCCAAGACGTGAGCCCACACCTGGCTCCCCCACCAGCCCCACCACACGGCAGGAACGGCCCCGGGACCGACAGAAGGGCTCCTTACCTCAAAGCAGTAGTCCTGTCCCAGGATGCTGCTGTGGACGGGCTTGATGACCACTTCTTCCTCCATGCTGAGATCCAGAGCCTCGACAGCACTACTGGGACTGAGCAAAGACTCGTGGGAGCGCGATTCTTTCAGCCTCGGCATTAGATGGGATCTAGAGGAAAAATGGAATGGTGTCACTGGATGCTTTCCTTCCCAGAGACGTCACTTAGTCCGTCTGTTAGCAACAACTGCAGAGTTTCTGCCATGAGATAACCGAGGGCCCAGAACAGCAGGGACTGCTACGTTGTCCCACTTATACTTTGGCGAGCAGGTTCTGTTACAGGCTGTACATCCAGTAAAACGTTTTTTCCAAACTCTGATGCAGCCAGGACTACGTTATCAGAGGTTTGCAGGCTGCGGATCTCTGCACAGCTGAGTATGTCTTTAAACCGCTGCCACACCTGTGTCAGGAGAGTGGATCAGAGAGATCCACTGGCCCCAGCACCGACTGCTCCGCTCCTCAGCACCTGGTGATCAGCTCTAGCACCGACCACTAGCACGGCACTGGGTGTGCAGGTGTGTGGGAGCTCCCACGAGCATCCCGCTTCATTTCGTGCTGTTTCGCGGCACCCAGTCCCTACTGAGAGGCGCAATTTTCCTGCAAATGGAGAGGAGTCAATGGCAGACCCTTCCCAAAGCCCAGCCTAGGGTGGGCTCAGCACAGAGAAAAGTGTGCGTGGGGGGCGGCTGATGCTGCCAGGGCAGGTTCCCCCCCTCCCCACCAAAACTGCGTCGCGGGTGCAGCCGCTGTCTGGGTCCACACCCTGTAACCACTAACCCGAGGGCTCGTGTGCTCTCTACAATTGTTACACACATCCCGGGGATGGGGACAGTGTGGAAAATAAAGCTGTGATAGCCCTATCGATTGATCTAAATGCTCCGGAGTCCCACTGGCAGCATTTAGCAGCAGGGAGCCCACAGACAGCGAGCAGCACACCATTTGTCGAGACAGCCAATACAATCAATGCTGCTGTAACTCTTAAAGCAAAACCAGAGAGCTCGGGTGGGGGAGGCGGGTAGAAAAGGAAAGAGAAAGATAGCTAGGTACTCCCAGGGAAAACACAGGAAAACTATAAAGTGGCAAGGGAAAAAATAACTTGAGAGCAAAGGGAGCAGCTGTCTTCTGTATAGCCTGCACCATGTAAAACGTTCCTACGCCAGCCAGCTCACAAAAGCTTATCCCAGTAACTGACCTTTAAAACCTCTGGCAAGCACTTTAAGGTCTCCCAAAGAGGTCACGGGTCCCTCTGTCTACAAAAAGAGCACGACGCCTTCTTCAAAAGCACGGAAGGACAGAAATAACAGGAATTTGTGATATTCTCACCATGGTCTTTTATGAGCAAAACAACCAGTATACTCTGGGACTGCTCTGCCTGTGTGTTGAGTTGCGTCGTCCTCTGGCATAATGCTGGCCAAAACACAGAGGAATGCCAACAGCGCAGGCAAAACTCATGGCTTCCAGTGAATCACACAGCACGCTGAGTCTAGAAAGCAGCTGAAGGAGCTTCTAGGATAAACAGCAGTGAAAGACAAACAGGTGCTTCTCTAGATATGCTGTGAAGGCTCATGCCTGGATGAAGCCCCAGGTGATAACGGATCAGCCCGCAGCTGGGTTTGTTCAAGAGATGGTGCCGAAAGCCGCTGGCCACCCCTCCCGGCCAGCGGCACGGCCCCCCCCGGCCAGCGGCACGGCAGGATGCCCAGCCTGGGGACACGCTGCCTAGGGGGTCAGTGACAGCACCGTCCCCAGAGACATCCCTGCTCCTCCTGTGGCAGATGACAGCACCACTGTCTTCCCTTAGAGGACAACCACCAGCCCTCGGGTGCGGAAAGCCCTGGGCGAGCGCAGCCCTGCGCTGGGGCGGGAGCGGCGGCTCTGAAGCCAAAGGCTCTCCTCTGTCCCATTAGCGATTCTCTGAACTGCCCGCTCGCCCCTGTATCTCTATGGTGAATAAATTGATCTTTAGGAACCAAGCGCAGTCATTTCCCAGTACTTTGTGGCAATTTTACACTATTTTCACAGAAAAGGGTCCATATCCCTTTCCTCTGGATGATACTGTAAATTAACTCTAACACAGGCAGACAGATCAGGTTACCTCTGGACACTGAGCACAGAACTCATATCCAGCAGCTTAAGAACTGACAGTACAGACTGCTCCCCAAGCCCCAATAAGCCCAGATTCAAGGCATTTATGGTAAATCTTGTTTCCATATTTTACAGGTGAAATTAGGAAAGGTGAGTAACCAAGCTGAGACTTGCATTTTTGTGTGGACAAATGTAAATACTGATAATCTAAAGCCACAAGTCAGGAAACTACAATACCGTAACACGCACATGAACATCACTGAGCTGGGCTGCTTCCTGCTGGCCGAAGATTTTTTTTTTCTTAAAATTAAAATAAACCAAGTCTATTTTTCATCTAAAACTACTGCAGCTGCGAGGCCACGGGTGGGTGTGCAGATGTGCAATCCGAGGGGAAGTTTCTCAGGACATAAGATGTTCCCAGCAGATTCAGCAAATGCGTATTTATATCCCTCCATACTGTGCCGTACGCCTCTGGGGATCCTAAAATTAATGGGACTTTTCTCAGGCAGGAGGTTATTTGGCGAGTTCGTGCCTCGGCAGGACCTGCTCCCATGACGACTTTTACTCCTGAACGGCCGATCACATCCAGCCCGGGTGTGATCAACACGAACATCGTTCACCAGATGCTGCACTGCGCGGGGAGAGCGCTGCAGGTCTCAAATCAGCCCTAAAAGACCCAGCATCTGTCCGTGTATCACGAGCTAAGTGGGGAGATGTCATTTATTAGAGACTCTCGTTTGAAACCTCAGCAGAGGGGAGGAGAGCTCTGCCCTGGCAGGGCAGGATGAGCACACAGCCCCCTCCCAGCACCTCCCCAGCCCCAGCACTGCAGCACTTAACCCACGGCAGCCCCGCGCAGCCCAGGGGGGCTGCAAACACCCCAGAGCTTGAGAAGGGCTACATGCCACCAGCCTGCAAAGGACAGGCGGTGCTTTCATTTTAATACCCTGCTCTGGAGGAGACAGCGTTTCTCAGTCCTTTGGTAAGGAACACGACACTTGGAGCAGGAGCTCGTTTAGGGGAGGATGTTTGCAAGTCCCTGCCGCAGCTCCCACAGGCTCCCCTCTGCACGAATAATAAGGAAAAGGTCCCACTGAGGCCATGAGCTGCTTCCTTGACTCGGAGGGCGAGCGCACCCTTCCTGTCCAAAGGACCGCTGAGCCTTGCCCTTGTTTGGGCAGGGAGAACCCGAACCCGCTCGTTCCAGCGAGAACGTCTCTGTCTTGTACCGCACCAAGCCCTAAGAGAGCTGCAGGGCTTTGTCCAAAGACGCTTTAAGCACCGAGTGCGACGGCTGGAGTGGCCACGGCCACAGACGCACCAGAGTCGCAGTGAAGCCGTGCTCTTCCTCAGCCACCCAGCACCTTCACAGGCGAGCTCACCTGCAGCATTTGCGTACCGTGAACTCACGCTTCCAAGATGACAGAGGTACTTTGTTCCAATTCACCTCTCTACCATCACTTTTCAAAATGCTGCCTGTGGGGCCATCTCCTCTCTTGCCATAATACTCGTCGTGTGTTCCAGGTCCTGCCCCAGCTTACACGAGCTGATCAAATTCAGTTCCTGCACCTTTGTTTTGATATGATGGGAACAGTCAGCTGCCCAGAGACATCTCACAGCAGGACGCCCTCTTTCCAAACAGCACATTCAGTTCTTTTTGCCATGGGCCTTATTTCAATCCCTTTCTACTTGCCTAAAGTTCAATCGAAATGAAGGGGGAGAAAAATCTCATAAAAGACCACATTAGTTCT